TGCCCTAAAATATATTATTTTTAAGCTATTCTATCCCTCATTGGCTTCAATGCAGTAAACAGAATTTATCCAGTTTTTCTCAGTCTTACCCCCACCCTGATGTCAGCCTCATTCTACAACAGTGGCACCATATAGTATTTGTCCTTTTGTGACTAAGATATTTCACTCAGCATAATGTCCTCCAGGGTCACCCATTTTGAATAATATTGCATGAGTTTCTTGTTTTTCAATGCAGTATAGTTTTCCATTGTGCGAATATACCACAGCTTCTGTACCCATTCGTTTGCTGATGGGCACTCAGGTTGTTTCCAACTCCTTGCTATTGTAAACAAAGCTGCGATAAACAAGGGAATGCATGTATCTATTTGGATGTCATGGTCTCTTTAGGGTATATTCCCAGTAGTTGAATTGCTGGGTCAAATGTTATCTCCATTTGCAACTTTTTGAGAAAGCGCCCCACCGCTTTCCACAGTGGTTGCACTATTTTACAGTCCCACCAACAGTGATAAGGGTTCCAGTCTCTCCACAACCTTGCCAGCATTTCCTGCTTGCTGTTCTGTTAAACTTTGCTCGTCCTACTGGTGAGATGATATCTCATAGTTGTCTTGATTTTCATCTCTCTCAGAGATAGTGATTTTTAACATTTCTTCATGTGCTTGTTGGCCCTCTGAATGTCAGCGTTCCTTAAGCTGAAGGAGTTGAAAAACAAATTCACGCCACTGGTGACAATACTTAAGGATACTTTGGGGTAGAATGTTAAATGATCCAGGAAGTATCAAAAGAAGATGGAAAGAGTACACAGAGTCACTGTATCAGAAGGAATTGGCTGACAAAGAGGAATTTCATGAAATAACTTATGAGCAAGAGCCTATGGTGATGAAGAAGGAAGTTCAAGTTGCTCTGAAGAAATTGGCAAAAAACAGGTTCCAGGAGTTGACAGCATACTAATTGATTTATTTCAACAAACAGATGTTGCCCTAGATGTGCTCACTAGGTTGTGCCAGGAAATCTGGAGGACAGCCAGCTTGCCGATTGACTGGAAAAGATGGTTATCTGTTCCCATTCCAAAGAAAGGCGGCCCAACAGAGTATGGAAATTATCAAACAATATCATTAATATCACATGCAAGCAAGATTCTGCTGAAAATTATCCAAAAACGTTTGGAACAATATGTCAACAGAGA